GTGCTGTATCCACTGAGCCAAACCAGCTAGAGCATAACATGTTATTTAACTTTCATGTCGTTTTCAGTTTTATTTTCTTGTGATTTCTACTTGTATGCCATTGTTGCTAAGGCAAATGCTTGAAATGATTTCAATCTTCTTAAATTTATTGAGACTTGATTTGTGTGCTATTATGTGGTCTATCCTAGATATAGTTTCATGCGTCTTAAAAAGAATGTATATTCTGCAGCTTGTTGGGTGAAATTCTCTGAAGATATCAATTAATTCAGTTATAGTATGTCATTTAAGACTGTTTCCCTGTGAATTTTCTGTCTGCAATATCTATCCATTCATTTAAATGGGGTGTTGAAATCTCCAACTATGATTGTACTACTGTTGATCTCTTCCATATGAAGAATCGCTTTATATATTTGGGTACGTAAGTATGTACAAGGGTTAAATTCTCTTCTTGGATTGATCCTTTGTTTTAAAGTCTATTTTGTCTGATATAAGTATTATTGCCTCAGCTTTTTATTATTTCCATTTGTGTGAAATAACTCCATACCTTTACTTTTAGCCTGTCTTTTATTCTGAGGCGAGTCTCTTGTAGACAGCATATATAAGATTCTTGTTTTCTTATACTTTCAGCTACGTATGCTTTGACTGGAGTATTTATCTTTAAAGTGGTTATTGCCATATTTTTCTTTCTAATTATGTTCCTTTTGTTTGTTTGTTTTCTTTTTTCTTCTTAAAGAAGTCTCTTTAAAATTTCTCACAATGCTTAGTTGGTGATAATGAAATCTTTTAGGTTTTGTTGTCTGAAAATCTTTTTATTTTTTCTTTAATTATAAATGATAGCTTTGTTGGCTAGATTAGTTTTGTTTTAAATCCTTGCTTTCCTTCACTTTGAATATTTTGTGTTAATCCCCCTGGCCTTAAATGTTTCTGTTGAGAAATCAGCTGATGGTCTTACTGGAGTTCCCTTGTAGATAACTAACTTTCTCTTTCTGTTTTTAAGATGCTCTTTGTCTTTAACTATCACCATTTTTATTATGATGTATCTTGTGGTCCTCTTTCAGTTCATATTGTTTGGAACTCTCTACACTTCCTTGACTTGTATGCCTTTTTCATTCATCAGGTTAGGGAAGTTCTCAGTCATTATTCAAATAGTTTCTCAATCAATTGCTCTCTTCTCCTTCTGGAACCCCTATTAGGTTGATATTGTTATACTACTCATTGTCCCAGGTATCCCTTAAACTATCCTCCTTTAAAAAATTCTGTTGTCTTTTTGCTGCTCTGATTGGGAGTTTCCTTCTACCTTCGAAATTGCTGTTTTGGTCCTCTGCTTAATCATCTGCTGTTGATTCCTTTCAGTGTATTCTTTATTTCAGATATTGTTTTATTTCTGACTAGTTCTTTTTTATGGTTTCTACATCCATTTTGTTTTGTTTTGTTAATCCTCACCTGAGGATATTTTTCCCATTGATTTTCAGAGAGAGTGGAAGGGAAGAGAGAGTGAGGGAGAAAGAGAGAGAGAGAGAGAGAAACATTGATGTGAGAGACACATTGACAGGTTGACTCCTGCATGCACCCTGACTGGGGACAGGAATAGAACCCACAACCCAGGTACATGCCCTTGACTGGGAATTGAACCACAACCCTTTGGTGTATGGGCTGACACTCTAACTAGGGCTCTGTGTCCTTTTTTTATGATTACTATCTCTTTGGTGAAATTCTAAGTTCTAAATTTCTTGAGGATCTTCATAGCCATTGCTTTGAACTCTGTATCAGCCATTGTTTACCTTCATGGTAAACAATTCTTTTTTCTGGGAATTCTCCAGTCCTTTCATTTGGGGTCATGTTTCTTTGTCTCCCTATTTTTGCTGCCTCTCTGTATTCATTTCTGTATATCAGGTAAATCTGCTATGTCTCCTAGTCTTGGCATGGTAGCCTTATGTAGCAGGTGTCTTGTGGAGCTCAGTATTAAAGTCTTCCTGATCACCTGAGATAGGTGCTCCAGGAATGTCCCTTGTGTGGGTCATGTGAGCTCTCCTGTTGTAGTTAAGTCTTGATTGCTTTTTGTACTTCTGTGAGGTGGGGCTGACCCTCAGGCAGGTTGACTATGAGCATCAACCCCAACCATGGTGAACAAGCTGCTGTGCCAGGGAAAACGCCATGAAGCAGAATTGGCCCTAGCAGGATCTGGTGCATGCTGAGATCTCCTTTTTGTGATGCTGTGGAGATACTTTGGTCATGCTCTATGTGGTCTGAAGCATACCATCAGGTGTATTGGTTCTGGGGTATGTTGGCCATGACTCTGATGCAGTTCAATATTAGGCACTTCCTGTGACTGGTCCTCAATTAGTAGTTGGGTACTATAACGTGATCCACAGTTTTTGGCTACCTCTGCAGTGCATGGCTATGCATGAGAGTCGCCAAGGCTCATTACTCCCAGCACCAATCTTGGGGGTGAGTCGGCAAAAAGCCCAAGACACCAGCCTACTAGTTCCTGTTAGGCTCCATCACTAAAGGAGCTTCTGGTGGCACATGAGTTGCATGAGGTAGTTTCTCAGTGAATCACCAGGTAGGGATGAATAGTGGTCACCAGACTGATACATATGTAAACTTGAAGCCTGAGGGGTCTGAGACTCAGTAAAAGTCACAGTTTACACTAAGGCTACTCACCAACTGCTGGGTATCCACAGAACTTTGTGGTGGGGCAGGGTCTCAGAGACTCATCTGGGTGAGGCCAGCAGAGTTCATCCGGCCCTAACAAACCAAGATTTGCCCATGTGGAGGGAGGGCTCTATACAAAAACAGTGGCACCAGTAGAGCGTGCAAAAGATAAATGGCCCCTTCTCTAGAGCCACACAACTCAGTCTGCTGCAATTTTGGTTGGACCTCCTTGAGAGTCTTCCATGAAAGTCTGCATCATGGGGTCAGGCTGGCAATAGCCATCAGACTTCTCTGAAGGGCATGAGCTTAGCAGGACATGGCCACCAGGAGTTGGGAGGGTGAGAGTAGAGGATCCCCGCCCAGAGAGGGCAACACTAGTCAGGTGTACGTGGGAGAGTGAATGGACCTCACCCCAGAGCCACACAATTCAGTCTCTAATACATCCTAAATCTGTCTAAACCTCCTCAAGAGGCCACTAGAAAAGTCTCCACTGTAGGGCATGAGCTTGGCAGGAAAACAGGGAATTGGAAAGGAGTGACTATTGCATTCTACCAGGCTAATGTCATATGGAGAGGAGTGCTTGACCAGCGAAAACAGTGTCTGTGGGTGGTGTGGGAGAGAGACTCAGAACAAAGACCCCGGTGGCTATCCATTCAGCTCTCTCCCTGGAGCCTCAACCCATTTTCTCTTTGCATGACTCTAGCCCATTCTGAGCCACTCTCCCACCACCAGAGCCCAGGGTGAATGGCTACAAATGATATTTAGTGCACTGGCCCTTTAAAAGGTTGCCCGGGTTGCTAGAACCGGTTTGGCTCAGTGGATAGAGCGTTGACCTGCGGACTCAAGGGTCCCGGGTTCGATTCCAGTCAAGGGCATGTACCTTGGTTGCGGGCATATCCTCAGTGGGGGGCGTGCAGGAGGCAGCTGATCGATGTTTCTCTCTCATCGATGTTTCTGGCTCTCTATCCCTTTCCTTTCCTCTCTGTAAAAAATCAATAAAATATATTCTTTTAAAAAAAAGATTGCCTGGGTTTCAAGCAGACTCCCCTCTCTCTCCCTGGAAATCAGAATCCTTGCTGATTTCCACAGCCAGATTTTAGGCATTATCCTCTTCCAGTTCTGGTGCTCTATGCTGAGGAGCTCTGCATAGGGTTGAGACCACACACTTTTAAGGGGTCACCTTTGCTGATAAGATATCCCTCCTGATTCTCAACAGCTACATGGGGATGCAGGGCCAGCTCTTTTCATAGCTCTGCCCTTCCTACCAGACTCAAAGTGGCTTCTTCTGTAAATCCTTGGTTATAAGACCAAGGATTCAGCTGATCATCAGTTAGATATTCAGGTTGATTGTTCTATAATTTAGTGTAATTCCAATTCAGACCTGTGAGGAGGTGAGTGTAATTTCCACCTGATCCACTTCCATCTTGATCCCTTACCTATGTTAATTTTTATTAATTCTTTATTTCCTGTTTTTCAGACTGTATAACCTCTATCAGTCTATCTTCAAGTTCACAGATTCTCTCTGACAATTCTAATCTACCAATGAGCTTCTTAATATATTTTTTCACTTTGGTTATTGTGTTTTTAAACTCCAGAATTTCCACTTGGTTTTTAAAAATAATTTCTAACCTGGCCAATGTTTCTTATTGGTTAGAGCACTGGCCTGTGAACAAAGGATCATGGGTTTGACTCCTGGTCAAGGGCACGTACTTGGGTTGTGGGTTTGCTCCTTGGCCCTGGTCAGAGTGCATGTAATATGCAACCAATCAATGTGTCTCTCTCACATTGATGTTTTTCTCTCTCTTCCCCTCCCTCCCTTCCATTCTCTCTCTCTCTCAATGAAAAAAAAAAAAAGCTCTAGTGGGGATTAACAAAAAAATAAAAATAATTTCAATTTTTCTATTATATTTTCTACTTAATGAGATTTTTTCATACTTTCCATTATTTCTTTAATTATTGTATCCTTTAGTTTTTTTAAATTTATCTTTATTGTTGAAAGTTTTACATATATCCCCTTTTTTACCCCATTGACCCATTCCACCCGACTCTTGCCCACCCCAGTCTTCACTGCACTAATGTCTATGTCCACATGTTATGCATATATGCATATAAGTTCTTTGTTTTTTTTAACACATTTATAATGGCTACTTTGATGTCTTTGCAAAATCTGACACCTGGTATCTCTCACAAGTCATTTACAACTTAAAAAGACAGAGTGTTACTAAACAATTTTATGTATCACTGAAATGACTAAACTGTTAACATGAAGTGAATTCATAAAAATTTGTAAGCTTAATCTACAGTGTCTATGTGAGGACACCCTCTGACCAGAGGTAAATACATACCTGAGAGAATAGATAGAGTAGTAGATTTTCCTGCCCCATTATGTCCTAGAAGAACAGTGATCTGTCCCTCATATACATTCAAAGATAAGTCTTTTACAACTAGTTTGGTAGTGTTGTGCACTCGGAATTCCTGTGAAGGAAAAACACCAAAATACTAATTTTATCTACATATATCACTTTGGAAGAACAAGCACTTATATATATGAATTATCTATAGAAAAAACAATACCACATAAGCTCATGAGGCAGAAAAATCAAGATGTGAGAAGTAAAAACTGTGAAAAGGGAAAAATGTGATAGCATAACAAAAGTTTCAGAATTTCACAATAAATCTATAAATACCCCTTGAGCAATCTCATCCATTCTTGTTTTGTTTCAATAATCATCTTGAAGTTGATAAGGCTATATTCTTTTTCAGTCAATGCCTTTGTCCTAATTTGAAAATATAGATAGGACAATTGAAAATATCGATAGGACATCTAAAATTTAGATGTTCTATAGGCATCTCAAAATTGAAAATATAGATAGGACATCTAAAACTTAGATGTCTATCAGCATCTCAAATTTCTTATGTGTAGACTTGCAGCACTTCTGCTTAAGATGCAAAAATATGGAAAGAGCATCATTCTCATTCTAGCAAGCAAGTACCTAGTAAGATACAAAATCATAACTTTACTTGAACCCCTCAGAGAGGTGAGTTTATCAGGCAACTAGCTTTAAATTTAAGGAAACATAGATGCCTTCAAGGAGACATGGTATATAAATATTTGCTTACCTAGAGCAGAAATAGTCACTATAAAAACTAGTGAGAAAATATTGGTTAAATTTTTAATTATAATTGAGTGAAGGCAGCTTAAGAAACAATATTTAATGGGAGAGTTGGTATTCAAGCACATTTCATTCAGACTTAAAGTATATATTCCTTCCAACACATGCCACTGATGGTGAATAAAGACAAACCATCTTGTGTAACAAAAAGAAGATGCTGTTCCTTTTTAACCCCAAATGGCAGTGGGTGTTTTCTATCTAGGTGTCCTCATTCTGCCGTGTCCCTAGGCTTGAACACCACTGTCGTGTAACTGCTTATTTGAAATCTCTACTTGGATGAATGTTTAAGTGTCTCTGTAGCTCTTAATTCCCCAAAGTTTCACTTGAAAACAAACTTACCAAACAAATTTCAAATTCTACCCCAGTGTCTCCAGTATCCACGAATTGCTCCACTAACCACCAATTTGCTCAAGCCACAGCTGACAGCCACTGTAATTCCTCCTTTTCCCTCAATCATACATCCAACTGAAGAGCAAGTTTTCTTCAGTTCTAACTCCAAAATATATTCTGAATCTGCATAATTTGTTTTCCACTACCACAAGCCTATCCCTGCTGCCTTCATTTACCTATGCTTCTATAAAAGCCTCCAATCTGTTTTCTTCCTTCCATTCATACTCCTCACAGCTGCCGATATGGTCTTTTCAAAATATAAATCAGATCATGTCCCTCTACTTCATAAATTCCTATAGTTATAATTATTGCCCAATGTTTAAAAAATAGAATCCAATTATTACCAAGTGTCTTATAATTTTCCAAGTATAGGTCTTTTACATCCTTTGTTAAATTACTGCTAGGTTGTTTTTTAAGCAACTGCAAATGTGATTGTTTTCTTAGTTTGCCTTTCTGATAGTTCATTATTGGTGTATAAAATGGAACTGAGCTCTGACCTGTTTGGCTCAGTGGATAGAGCGTCAGCCTGCGGATTGAAGGGTCCCAGGTTCGATTCCAGTCAAGGGCATGTACCTTGGTTGTGGGCACATCCCCAGTGGGGGGTGTGCAGGAGGCAGCTGATCAATGTTTCTCTCTCATCGATATTTCTAACTCTCTATCCCTCTCCCTTCCTCTCTGTAAAGTATCAATAAAGTATATTTTTTAAGAAAGAGATTAATATTTAAAAAAATAAAAATAAAAATAAAATGGAACTGATTTCTGGATATTTATATTATATCTTCCAACTTTCATTGAATTCATTTATCAGTTCTAGTAGTATTTTGGTGGAATCTTTAGGGTTCCCTTTATACAATATCATGTCATCTGCAAACAATCACAGTTTTAATTCTTCCTTTCCCAATGGATGCCTGTTTTTTTTCTCCTTCTTGTCTGATAGCTGTGGCTAGGACTTCCAGAACCATGTTGAATAATACTGCTGAAAGCAGACATTCCTGTCCTGTTCCTGACTCAAGGGAAATGTTTTTAGTTTTGCCCAATGAAAATGATGTTGACTGTGGGGTTTGTCACATATGACCTTTATCATGGTGAGATGTGCTCACTCTATTCCCACTTTATGAAAAAATTTTATTATAAATGGGTGCTGGATATTATAAAATGCTTTTTTGCATCTATTAATATGATTGTGTGATTTTATCCTATCATTTTGTTTATTATGCAGTATATCACAGTTATTGATTTGCAGATATTGTACCAATAATGCATCCCTGGAATAAATCCCACTTGATCACAATGTATGACCTTTTAAACGTATTGCTGGATTTGGTTTGCTAATATTGTGTTGAGGATTTCAGCATCTATGCTTGTGAGAGAGATTGGCCTATAATTTTTTTTCTTTATCGTGTCTTTCACTGGTTTTGGAATTAGAGCAGTGGTTCTCAACCTTCCTAATGCCACGACCCTTTAATACAGTTCTTCATGTTGTGGTGACCCCCAACCATAAAATTATTTTCATTGCTACTTCATAACTGTAATTTTGCTACTGTTATGAATTGTAATGTAAATATCTGATATGCAAGATGTATTTTCATTGTTACAAATTGAACATAAAGCATAGTGATTAATCACAAAGACAATATATGTGTTTTCCGATGGTCTTAGGCGACTCCTATGAAAGGGTCGTTCGACACCCAAAGGGGTTGCGACCCACAGGTTGAGAACCACTGAATTAGAGTAATGCTGCCCTCATAAAAACAGCTTGGGAGCCTTGCCTCCTCCTGAATTCTTTTGGAATAGTTTGAGAAGGACCTGTGTTAGTTACTCTTTGAATGTTTGGTAAAATTCAACAGTGAAGCCATCCAGCCCAGAACTTTTGTTTACTGGAGATTTTTTAAATTACAGCTTCAATTTAACTAGTTGTAATCTGTCTATTCAGATTCTCTGATTCTTCCTGATTCAGGTTTGGAAGATTGTATGTTTCTAGAATTTATTTATTCTGGATTGTCCAATGTTTTAGCATAGAGTTGTTCATAATATTTTCTTACAATCTTTAGTATCACTTTTATGTCAGTTGTTATATCTTTCTTCATTTCTGATTTTGAGTCCTCTCTCTTTTTCCTTGGAGTGTGATTAATGGTTTGTTGATCTTGTTTATCTTTTCCAAAGGAAGAGCTCTAGATTTCACTGATCTTTTGTATTATGTTTTTAGACTCTATTTTGTTTACCCCTGCTCTGATCTTTACTATTTCCTTCCTTCTACTCACTTTGGACTTTGTTTCTTGTTCTTTTTCCAGTTTCTTTAAGTGTAAAGTTATATTGTTCATTTGAGATATTTCTTGTTTCTTTCGGTAGGCTTGTAATGCTATGAATTTCCCGCTTAGGACTGCTTTTGTTGTGTCCCATAGATTTTGGCTGTTGTGTTCCCATCTTCATTTGTTGCAAGGTATCTTATTTCTTCCTTGATCTTATTGTTAACCCATTCATTGTTTAGTAACATGCTATTTAGCCTCCATGTCTTTGTGTATTTTTCAGTTTTTTCTCGTGATTGGTTTCTTGTTTCATACTATTATAGTCAGAGAATATGCCTGATGTGATTTCAATCTTCCTAAATTTATTGAAACTTGTTTTGTGTACTAACATTTGGTTTATCCTAAAAATATCTTCCATGTGCTCTTTAAAAGGATGTATATTCTGCTGCTTTGGGGTGAAATGCTCTGAAGATATCAATTAAATCAATCTGATATAATATGTCATTTAAGGTCACTGTTTTCTTATTGACTTTCTTTCTGGAAGTTCTATCCGTTTATGTCAATGGGTCTTAAAATACCCTACTATGACTGTATCACTGTCAATCTCCCTCTTTAGGTTCATCAAAATTTGCTTTTTATATTCTGGTATATAAATGTGTACAAAAGTTATGTTGGCTTTCTCCCTTTATCATTATGTAGTATCCTTCTTTGTTTCTTACTATAGCCTTTTAAAATCTATTTTGTCAGATGTAAGTATTGTTACCCCAGTTTTTCTCATTTCCATTTGCATGAAATATCTTCTTCCATCCCTTTACTTTTGTCTATATGTATCTTTAGTTCTGAGGTGGGTCATGGAGACAGTATGTATATGGGTCCTGTTTCTTATCTATTTAGCCACACTATGTCTTTTGATTTGAGCATTTAAGTTATTTACATTTAAGGTGAACTTTGATAGGTATATAATTATTGCCATTTTATTTTCTAAATTATATTTCTCTGTTTTGTTTCTTCTTCTTCTACTACTACTACTACTACTACTAATGTTAGTAAAGCAGGCCCTTGAACATTTCTCATAATACAAGTTTGTTGGTAACAAACTCCTTTAGATTTTTCTTGTTTGGGAAGCTTTTTTGTTTTGTTTTGTTAATCCTTATCTGAGAACTTTTTTTTTTCATTAATTTTTAGAGTGAGTGAAAGGGAGGGAGAGAGAAACATCAATGTGAGAGAGACACATCAATTAGTTGCCTCCTGAATGCACCCCAACAAGGGCTGGGGATCAAACCTGCAACCCAGGTATGTGCCCCCAACTGGGAATCAAACCTGCAAGCCTTTGGTGCATGGGCTGACTCTCTATCCACTGAGAACACTGGGCAGGGCATGGAAAGCTTTTTATTTCTCCTTCAATATTAAACGATTGCCATGGTGGGTAAAGTAGTCTTGGTTGTAGGTCCTTGCTTTTCATCACTTTGAATATTTTATGCCAATCCCTTCTGGCCTGCAAAGTTTCTGTTGATATTTCAGCTGACAGTGTTATGGGAGTTCCCATGTAGGTAACTAACTGTTTTTCTCTTCCTGCTTTTAAGAGTCCGTCTTTGTTTTTAACTTTTGGCATATTATGATGTGTCTTGGTTTGAGCCTCTTTTGGTTCATCTTGTATGGGATTTTC